ATTTCCAAAACCTCTTTATTCCCAAATAAAATGCCAATAGGTTCTGAAACAAATCTGACTCATGCTGATTTGCAAGTGAACAGCTCTCCTTGAATTGTTTCCTGGCTGCATAAATTCCTTTGGTTTGCAACATGAATAAATTCCTACAGGATTCCTGAAGAGTCAAAAAATCATAATATTTTAAACAAGTTAGCTCTGTTCTAAACTTATTACTAATTTTTTTTAGAACAATTAGGAAAAGCATTAAACACTGAAGCAAACATATAAACCTGTTAGGGACCAACAGGAAAATAACGATAAAATAAGTAGAAAAATATAACAAACCTAAGCAGTATATGTGCTCTTTAAAAATTAATTGATTTCCTTTGCCAGCTTCTCACCAACGGTAATTTGAATGTTTTCTATTTGCACCATAATATGAAAAAAATAAAAAAGGTGGTCTAGAAATGAACTAATAGTGATATTTATGTATTTATTCATTGTGGTATTGATAATTGAACTCAAGGCCTTTGTACTGAATTATATGCCTAGGCCTTTTTTTAAAATTTCGAGACAAGAGTCTCATGATATTATTAAATTTCCCAGGCAAAGCTCAAAATTGTGGTCCTTCTGCCTCGGTCTCCCAGTATGCTGGGATTACAGGCATGGGCCACTCTCCCTGGCAATAATACCCATTTATTGAGTAGCTATTGTGCGTTCTGGAAGACATGTAGGACATAGACATTTAGGGTTTGTTATATGTAAAGAGAAGCCCAGCCAGCACAGGCCAAGCCAACTTAATTTGTGCTGATTTGGAGTTGTTCGGGAACTGGCTAACAAAGGGAAGAATGGGTTATTCGAATTAAGAGGAATAAGGGCCTGGGACTTAGCTCAGTGGTGCCGCCGCCTGCCTTGAATTGAGAGGAATAAGAGATGGGAAAGTTGGTGACTTCAGGGAGCCTTGCAGACAGGTATAGCCATAAATCTCAAAAACAGCAAACTTCAAATTTTCCATCTGGATTTTAATGAATGGTTGGGAAACCAAGAAGAAAGGTGGGGGAGTGAAAAAGTAAATGCAAGAAGGACAGAAACACCATATCTCAGCACTGTTTCTCTTTCCTTCGTTCAGCAAATACTACCGAGTCCCGTTATACGGGGCAAGGAACAGTTTAAACTCTTGGTTATGTGGTGATAAAGATGCATAAGGTGACCTCATGTTCTTGCTGCCCGATGCAGAAAATCTAATTCAAGGAAAAAGACGCATGCTATGTGAGGAAACAATGTTAGTGGAGAATGGAAAAAGAAAAGGAGATTTATAATATTTATATATTACGTAGTACCTATTTTCTCTTTTGTTTCCCTTAATTGGCCTTTTTTCTCTAAGCACGTGACTATCAAAAATTTACTGGTAGAGGTTTGACCTTTACTTTTTACCCTCATTCTGAATCAAGCAATCTAAATTATTGACTGATAAAACGTATGACATAGCTTGTCATTTACGAACATGTGAAAACATAAAACTGAATATTTAGAAGCACTGGAAGAATACTGAGTGAAAATATATGTTGCAGGAAAAGAACAGAATCTTCACAGGATTCAGGTACGGATTTATTTGTTGTCAACCTCATAAATTCTCTTCAACAGTTCCTATTTATTTTTATTTTTTTTAACCATTTCTTTGTCACCAGCCCCGGACTCTTGCGACTACTTCGTGACTCTGTGCAACAATCCTTCTCTGGACATCTGTGTGTTGCCCCCCTGACACTGTCAGCCCCAAGCTTCATTCCTTTCCCAATTCGTGCAAGAGATTCCAGTTTCCCTTTCTGTCAATCATAGAACATTGGAGCCCCAAGGAGCTCTACTTAGAAATCCAACCTTTAAGGCAATCGAAGCCTTCCTTCTTGACTGGTCCTCCCAAACAGGGTCTTTGCGTGATCAAAATCTTCCAGACTTCCTGAATCACCACTCCCCACTGAAGACTGTTCAGCCTCCTTTGCAGAGCGTTTAAAGCTGTCTGTGCAATTTCTCACCCAAGGCCCCCAGCATGCTCCACTTTCTTACACCAATGCCAGAACTAGGCTTTGAGTTCTCTACAATGCTAGAGGTTTGATAGTAAAATGACCACGGCACAGCCTGGTCCTGTGGTGGCCCCTGTGTGGGGACAAGTGCAGGAATCACTGAATTTTTGCTGAGAATCCTGGAGACCAAGGCCATCCAGGGAGCCCTGTGGTCAAGCGCCCCAGGCAGCCGTGCTGTCCACTGCTTCCTAGGTGCTGATTAAATTACTTTCTGCGGCTACACCATGGCCCACGCTTGTCCACACTCCGCAGCTTTGTTCGCGCTTTCAGTTGTTTGCAGTGTCCTTTCTTGGTCTACTCCAAATAAATCTAGTCTTTCAAAGACCAGATGAGATGCCTTAGTTTCATGGTCTTAAAACTCTCTCATTTGAATTCCCATGGTGCTCTGTTATATTTCCTTCCTCATTTCAACCACATCTTTGCTTGCATTGAAGTTTAATATCTTCTTTTTTTTTTCAACTATCTCCCCCTCATTAAGATCATCAACTGTGACATATATTGTATAGCTCTGGATACATTAACCAAAACTAATCACAAAATAGACGTTAAGAAATGCTCTCCAGGGTAAAACAATAGATAATAAATTGTATTTCAAACCTAACTGTCAAATAGAATGGCAGCAACTGACTGTACAAATGGATTTCCACTTAGTTGTGATGAAATTACTGTATCAATTCTACAAAAACCAATGACAATCGAGAGAGTGACCACCAACAGACCAGGAGCCTCAGCCTCGTCGAAAGGGTGAAGCAGATTTATCTAATAAAGGAAAAAATGTTCATTTGCCACCATCAGATTAATTTTAGATCTTTTGATAATTAAATGAAGGTACTGTTTATGCTTCATATACGTTCTGCCCTGAGTCTTGGAAAATGCACGAAACTTCCAAGAATGAAATTTTTTCCATTAATCACAAGTGCCAAAATCAGTAGGGCTGACCTGCGGGAGAAAGCACATTTGTCTTTGCTGGCTCCTTTTCAAAAGCTATAGAGAGCTATTTACTGTATGATGTTTCTCGTGCGCAAGTGCTGTTTTATTGGCCCGACAATCTCGGGAGGGAGAAGCCGCAGCCTTTCAGAAAGCAATCAGTTACTGAAGACCCAGGGACAGGTCCCGTCCTTCCTCCCTGTAAGAGCTTGTTAGTGGTTTCTCTTTTGTCTTTTTTTTTTTTAATTGTTTTTTGGCGTTTGAGTGCGTGTGAGTGTGCGTGTGTGCGTGTGTGTGTGTGTGTGTGTGTGTGTATTTCCCTGAGAACTGGTGAGAAATAGTTTACGATGGTTTTCAGAACACCTTCCACTCGTCTCCTCCTCCTACAAGGAAACAATATAAATAAACGTGCTCGCGCACAGCTCGAACACCTCGAAAGAACATTTTCCGTCCATCTGAAGTAACCAAGTGATCGTCCCAAGTTACAGGATAAAATAAAGATTTTTTTTAAAAGACTGAAAATCTCTTTGCGTCAGTAATCTTGGACTCCACGTTCTCTCCTGTGAGCCGAGAGCCTTTTAAAGCCTCGCGCGGCC